CTCCTTCCCGCTTTTTCTCGCTCTCCGCCACTCTATGCCGCGCGACAGACAGAGACGGGGCGATCAAGTTTTTGGACGCGTGCGACCGGTGCGGCGCTATTTCTGTCCCCACCTTCCCCACCCCTTCACCCCTGCCTCTCCCCCTCTCCCCTCCCCCTCCACTCTCTCTCCCTTCCACGTCACATGCCCCACACACATGATGCTCTGCTTTCAGCCGTGGCGCTCGTGGGTTCGAGTACCTCCAGCAGCGTTTTTCAAGAAACCTTTCAACTTTTCTTTAGCTTTTCAGTAAAAATTATTACAAAAAAATCTTTTTGCGTCTGATTTTTATTTTTGTTTATGACCGAGGCCGTTCTTTCTTTGTGGTTCGCGACTGGCCTGCTACACAATTGTGTGCGACTGGTCCGCGCGGCGTGGCGGCGTGCGGATGGATATAGTGCGCCAACAGCTGCGCGCTAGCTGCGCGCCGAGCTCGCTGAGAGGTGTATTAGATCACCGATGACCAGCAGCAGCAGCAGCAAAGCGCCCGCCACACAGTCGACCTCGAGTAACGTGCGCGCGAAGTGCACCGAGCGGCCGCCGAGCCGGCGCTGCGACGCGCATCCCGTGGATCGTTCGCGCGCCCTGCATCATTGCGAGCCCCAGGGCATGTATCATACACCTCCGAAACGTTTTAAAGTGATCCTGTACCTCATGCGGGCGGGTCTGTCTGTCACTAACCGTTGGGAAAGCAGACAAGTGCGTACAGCTGGGTGTTTTAGAGCCAGCGCCAGCACTACAGTGTTGCGGGATTGCATACTCGCTGGAGTCGTATGGCGCTATGGGTCATAGCGCTTTACGTAAGAAGGGAGTTGGCAGGCCAACTGCGGTGTCCGTTCTGTAACACCCGAATGCGTGCGTTACCGTAAGGCTAAAGGGGGTTCCCAGGATGCGTTTTCAGTATGGCCTCTTTGCTGCTGCATCAGTTTTTGGTTCTGAGACTCGCTTGAGAAGTCAGTCTTTCCCCTTTCTCTCCCACGCTTACCCCGCCGCACCGCCGTCGTACAACTTGGCGGGCTGTGAGTATAGCGGGTGGGAGTGAGTGAGAAAACGCTACATAATGACAGCGTTGAGGTTGATTTAACTTGTTGGCGTGCGCACAGACGAGTGCGGTGATGTGCCCCGCGCCCTGCCAAACGCCCCTCCACGCCCCCTCCTCTCCCGCGCCCTCTCCAAGTCCAACGCGCCCACCCCGGCAGCGACCCTGAATCTGGCACAGTGAGCCGCGGGCCCGGCCCGGCCCAGGGTCGCCGGGCGGCCTTGGGGGTCCCGGCCTTGCTTCCTGGCTGGCTGGTGTGGCACTTCCCCCACGGCCACCATCCGCCTCACACCTTCTTTACCCTATACTCCAGGATGACGTCCGGATTGCATCGCGCAATGTTAGAAACGTCAAACCCTACAAGTGGTGGCTTCCCTGCAACCTGCAACGGTTTCGTGTTGGAGTCCCAAGTAGTGCACGACGTCGCAGCCGGAGGAGGTCGCAGAGGAAGTCGTAAAGCAGGGCGCCAGGGGCACGCGGCGCCCGTCACTCTGGGGGGTCCGCGCCGGCCGCCGTCCCCGAGGCCGCCCCGTGCGCGCCCACGCGCCGCGGGCGAGAGCCGGAGCTGGGGCGGGGCGGGCATGGCGGCGGCGGACGGCAGCCACGGCAGCAGGCGAAGCCACGGCCAGGTCCCTGCGGGAGACGACCCGGCCGCGAGCCACGCCACCGCCACCGTCGTACACAGCGCCTGTATAAAGTAGTAGGGAGGGATCGGCGGGGCCGCCGGGCCGGGGGACGACCAGACCGGGCTTAGCGGGGAGACATATGTGAAGGCCTATTCTGGTACCACCGCGCCCCGCCCCGCCGCGCGCCGCCCGCCGCGCCCGGGGCGCACAGCAGAAGCACACGCCGTGGCGCGCCGTCTGCAGCGCCAGTAATCGCCCTAGTGTTCCGCTGCGACACTCATTAATTACACTTTGTTTCGTTTTTCGCGCATAAAGCGTCGCGTCGCACATGCGGCCCCTCTCGGCCGCCACGCCCCGCCGCGCCCCCCGCTGGTATGTATAGGAGGTTCTAGATAACGCTGCATCCCCCCGCCGCCGCCCTTTCCCGGCGAGACCAGTGCGGCCGCATCCGAGACGCGCGCCCGCCCTTCGTGTGCTCCCGTTCGGCTGGAGGGGTTGTCCCCGCCACTCTCGGACGCGCCCCTACCCCGCCCCGCCACCCCAGCAGCCTCTCAGGGTGCAATATGACTTCCGCTGCAGCAGACTGCCCCGGCCATCCGGGCAGCCATGGTCGGGGCCGGGGCCGTCTGTCTGTCTGCCCCACTTGAGCCCTATCGCCCGCCTTGCCCCACCCCGCCCTACCCCGCCCACCTGGACGCCCCTCCCCCGCGGCCGGCCCACCCCACCCCTTCCCCCACCGCGCTTGTTGTGCTGTCAGTCAGCGCGCGGGGTTGGTGGGGGCGCGCGGGCTGGCGCTGGCCACGCCCCGGCACCAGCCACCTGCCGCGAGGGGTGGGGCGGTGGTCCCACCTGTGAGTGGCGCGCCGCCGGGGGGAGGGCCGGGGCGGAGCAGAAAGGGAAGGGCCAGTCCGGCGCGAGATAGCATATCGCTCAACAGAGAGGAGCAGAGCAGCCTCCCTCTGAAAAAGTTGCACCAGTGTTCGTCGTCCCTCTCTCACTCTCTCGCTCCTTCTCTTCCCTGTCTCCTCTCTCTCTCCCTCGCCGCCCCACGAGCCACGAAGCACCGCTAGCAGGGCTGCTGCCTGCCCTCAACTTGTTATGAGAGAATGAATTATGAAGTATATTCACATGTATCAAACGGCGGACAAGCAGGCGCGGCGGGGTGGACCGAGCCAGCGAGCCCCGCCGGCCAGACGGACGGACGGACGGGCGGGCGGGACGGGACGGACAGGCCTTCACTTCCATAATCATCACCACGACCGCGATCATCGTCATGATTATGGTCCGCGAGGGCGATAATGACCCCAGGCCGAGGCCTGATTGTCCCGCTGTCACTTACGCTCTTCCTTATTGCACCCTGCCAAATAAGGTTTGTTAGTCACACGCACTCAAAATCCAAAGTGTACGAATGTCGCACACCCGCAGGCTATCGGAGAAAGTTAACACACTTGGGGCCGGTAAATGGCTACCTTCTTACGTGTACTAATCTTCACTAGCTCATCTGCAAGTGTGTAAATATTTTGTGACACACCAGCAGGTGTGTGTGTTTTTTTCTTTCACACCTGCAGTTGAGCGACTTTCATGCACTTAGATTTCCAATGTAACAACTGACGCATGAACGTCGAACAAAATATAAATGCGTACCTCATATAGAAGAAGAGAAATAACGGTCGTCAGTAGGTTAGCGCGGTGTAACCCGGCCGGGCAGGCAGAAGCCAAACTCAACCCGACCCGAACCCTCCGCGCACTGGACCGCACGAAGCCCAGTGGCGGTGGCGCCTTTGTTACGCAAGTTTTCGCCCCCCTCGGGCCTCTCTCTCTCTTCTCCCTTCTCTCGCTACCCGCCGGAGCGGACCCCCCGCCGCCTCGCCCTAGCCTCGCGCGAAACGAAGGTTCATCCGACTTCCGGTCATTGCTTCCGGGCCGGCGCCAAGTTTGCAAGGGCTCTGTGTAACGTTTGGTAGTCGTAGTAGTAGTTTGTCCACAGCAGGAGTGGAAGCAGAGTGCTCGAGGTACAGAAATAAATAATGTAGAAAGCACGAAAGAAACATAAGTTAAGACGCGATTGTAAAAAGTACAGCTTAAATTATCAAATAACAAGAGTTAAAAAAAATGGAGCTAGGAAATGAAAGCAATAGTATAAAGCATAGTAGAGATAAAAATACCTTAAGGTATTGCAATTGCAATAAATATGATAGCGAAAAAAAAGTACAAAAAAAAACCGCAGTTACATTGGCCGCTATGTGGGGCCATTCCTTTGCTCTGGCGACGTCTAATGCCCCGCGCCACACCTGCGCCGCTCCCCGCCCCGCCGGCCCCGCCCACCGAGCGCAGTGCGCCGTGCAGCGCCGTGCGACTCTAATGACACAAGGTCCAGTCATAACAGGACATTACTCTAAATTAAAAGGCCGTAGCTTGACGCCCAGCCGCGGAGCGCGCGGAGCAGTCGCCATGCCGTTGGAGCGGTGCAGGCGGAGCGGGGCGCGGGGCCTCTCCCGCTGCCCACGCCTTGCTGGAGCAGAGCCGCCAGCACCGCGGAATCGAATCTCCACATCCTCTGAAGCACGCAATGGATGTTCGGACGAACTATTATTGACCACAGTTTCCGCGAACTGTGTGTTGTTATTTTATTACAATACGTTTGACACACACATTAAATCGTGTGCGAAACATTGTACGAGAAATTTGTCATTTTGCTTTGATCGTGGTGGTGCAGGTGGTACCCGGGTGCCCCACGTTGCACTATTTGGAGCCAAGCCATGCACCTGGCCAGCCCATCGGCCGAGCCCCTCCGCGCCCCGCCCCGCCCCACGCCTGCATGCGATGTACCCACCTAGCGCAACGCCGCCGCGCGGGCCATAGAAATGCGGGCCGCACGATAAAGTACGCAGGCGAAAACAATTTCGCGCGTGACATCTCCATCTAGCTGCCGGGCAACATAACCTAGCTCCCCCTCCCCCTCTTCTCTCTCTCCCTCTCTCTCGGGCCAGGCGAGCAGCTTCAACCCATGTTTTCTCTCTCTCTTTACTTCGCGAAGCTACTATTACTCGCATGCTCTAGATTACAAGCGGCAACAACAATTGTGCTCCCTGATTTAGGAGGCCGCCGCACGGCCACGGTCCCGGGCCTGTGGCGGGCCTGTGGCGGGCAGCCCGCACCCACGTGACGCGCGCCGGCCTCGTCGCAAACTAAACGGTGGCGAGGCCGTGCCGTGCCGTCCCTGTCCGTCCCCAGAGCAGTAACAGTTGGTGGACTTGTTCACCGTACTCACATTCTGTCCTCTCTGTGTCCTCCAGGATGAGTTCCACCCGTTCATCGAGGCGCTGCTGCCCTACGTCAAGTCCTTCTCCTACACCTGGTTCAACCTGCAGGCCGCCAAGCGGAAGTACTTCAAGAAGCACGAGAAGAGGATGTCCCTGGACGAGGAGCGGCGCTGCAAGGAGGAGCTGCAGGTCGGTGTTTTAGAATAATGAGGACGGGTTTCAGCAGCAGCAGACGGTCCAAGGCCCGCCGGTATGTGCACTGTGAATTTTGTTTTTCGTTGCTGGAAAATTGAGAGAAAAACACGCTCGTGTTTTATGGGGATTTTCACCCCCTGAAAATTTTCTGATAGGAGCAAGTTTGCAGTTTTACGAAAACAAATTTCTGACAGTGGCGTATATCGGGTACGCTGAGAACGACTTGAGATGAGCGCTTCTCGCTCGGGTCGTCACCGCGGGGAGGCGCGCGCTCCGCCAGTGAAAAGTTGGTCTCATTTACCCGGCCGCGGTAATTTATAGCATTAAGGCCCATTCATTCATTACGAGGTGAGCGGCTACCTCTGCGTAAGTTATACACACCGAAACTACCCCGTCAAAACTACACTGCATGGTCTTGCACAATAACGGCCAAACATTGCGTCAGAAGTTTATTTATCCACTTTTTTCCGTTTTTGTTTATAGAAATAAGGCATCAAGAGTAGGGACAGGGGCTGAGGGGTAGAAGTGGGAGAAGAGGGGGTGAATTGACTAGGCCTAAGCCTAGCATTATGTATGCGGACATCCCCTGCTGCAATGTTATCTGCAACACAGTGAGACTGCTGCCCCCTCCCCCC